CTGCCTATATAAATGCTACCTATATCATCATCATTATCTTATAGGCACTGAGGGCGCCACTAACAATTTTTGATTGGAGAAATAACACAAAGTTCTTAAAAACCTTACAGCTAAATATGCTAACTATTTATTATTCCCAGAAATTCCCAGAAATTCAGATTCCTCATCTGTAAAACGAGGAGGTTGGGCTAGAGATGTTCTCTGAGCTCTCTTGTACCTTTAATCTATGACTCTATCATTGATGGATGTTGAAACCTCCACCAACAGAAAGCAGCCTCCTTAGATCAAGGGACTATTTTTCCTTTTCTTTGCACCTCTTGCACTTGGCAGAGCTCTGCACACAAGAGGTGCTTAATCAATGCTTACTGAATTAAACTGAAAGCAGGTTGACACAAAACTATGCAAATTGACAGAAGCACAGTAGTATCTTCACAGAGAGCTACTTTTTAAATAATGGGTACATGCACACACATATTCTTGACTCATTTCTGCAATGTCATTCTTTCTCTTTGCTCCCCACTATCATTATCCTATCTTACTCCCCCAGTTTTTGCAATCATAGAGCTGGCATCTTCTAGGCTTTAGAAGTTGGGAGCCTGAGTCCCAGAATACACTCAAATCAAATGGAAAGGAAATAATACTGCAAGAATCTTTCCTGAGCTCCATTCTGGAAGGCCTTCTTGGTAAACCCCAGGCTATGAAGAGAGCACTAACTGGTCAGTCAGTGAAATGGCATTCAGCAGAGGTCAGACAGGAGAGACCAGTTCCAGTTTGTTAAAGAGATAGGGTAGGAGAGGACTAGCGACCTCAACCTCCCTGGGCTATTCAGCCACTCAGGGAAAAGGTTTCCTAGGCCCAGAGGCAACAAACTGTAGTTTGCTGAGTTGCTGACTCTCCTAAAATAATCTCTGTCTCAGCACGATGTACAGGCCTACTATCTCGATTTAACTCCTTGGGTACCAGCAACCAAAACCCTGCCTAAGAAATCTAAATCTTACTTGGAAGACAAGTCATTTGATGGTGAAGGCCAGGGAAGAGAATTTAAGGGGTAAGAGAGCAAAGGAATGGTATGGAGGTATGGGAGTGCACATGTGTACACATTCACACAAACGTGCATGAACACATACATGTTGCTATAACCTTATGGGATCATAGGGGCCCTTCAGGGCCGTCAAGTCTAACTCCCCCTCATTTTACAAAGGAGGAAACTGAGGTCAAGAGACATTAAGAGATTTGCCCAGGTTTGCACAGCTAGTAAGTTTCTAAACAGGATTTGATCACTGATCTTGATGGAAAAGAAAGGAAAGAGAAGAAAAGGAAGAGGAAGAGAAGGGAAAGAAAAGATGGGAAGGGAGGAAGAAAGAAAATCAAAATGCTTATGCTTCACGTGAGGAGGAACCCACAGTGACTTCACTTCAGCTCAGTTATTTCAGTGAACACCAAGCTCTACTTTAGTTAATATTTCATCATCTAACTAACTGAATTATTATGGGAAAGAAGAGGCAATGATGGTCAATACCAGCTGAGGATCATTGGCCCGGGTTCATGAGAAAGGGTCTCTCAATCCTCGGAGGAACAATTTTCTTCTACATAGCTTGTGCTCTGTAGTCTTGACTCTGATTTCATTGTATAATACATGGTTCCTTGAGCCTAGTCTGATTAATTGAATGGCATTCCTGATCTGTGTTTCTTGGCACATTCTGGTAAACGACCTGGCTTCACCGTGATAAGACTCCAGTGCTTTGCCCTCCTTGTTTTCTCCTAGTTATGCTTCCCACACCCTATTGTTCTCGATGGCATCTTGACCGGACCTGAGCTTGAGCTCCAAATGTCCTGCCTTCCCTCTAGTTTCCATCAGTGGTCAGCTAAATTGGGGGAGATCAGGTACTAAGAGGGAAGTTGAATGGGCTATGGGCAAAGTCATAATGGAGGTCAGAGTGGGTTCCCTGTAGAATGGGCATATTCACGTTAACAATTGTTACTGGCCTTGAGGAAAAAAGCAGACCATGCTGAGACTTCTGAGCCTCTTGTGGGAGAAAACTATGTTAAGAACTTTGCAATGATCATCGTCTGCCATCTTAAGGAGTCCCTTAAAGAGTTCTATTCCCTGGTTCAGAAACATTGGCCCTGAGGGCAGACCTCAAAAGAACCTGAGGTCATCGGTGATCTGTATTCTTTTCAAGTGAGTTCATAACATTAAAAAGATCCACTGCCATCATTTATCAGAGGTGGGCAGGAAACTGTTGCTAGGCTGAAGACTAGATCTCAGGAGCCCTGGTTCCCATAGCAGAAAGCAACCCTCTAGACCCAGCTCCAGGTCACTTCCAAGGCACAAGGGCCTCAGCTGGGTGGTCACAATGGGTCCCAGTGTGACTGGAAGCAGAGGGGCCTGAGGAGCCCCACACCAACCGAAGATGTCATCGGAGATTCCCGGGAGGGTGGGGCCAGCATCAGCTTCCCAGGCATAATACACAAGCCTTGTGGGTGGCATAATGTGGTATTCATCTCCCCCACGGTGGAGAGGGGCAACCGGGCTGGAACAATTCGGACTCTGTCAGGGAGTTCAGGCTCTCAGCCTCCCTAATGAAGATGAATGAGAGGGGAGGGGTTGCCCCCTTGCTTCGGCTGCTGCTGCCATAGACATCTCTGGAGTCTATGCATAAATATTCATGGCCTGGAGAGACAGTGCCCTGGGAAGACACACTGCTTTGAACTCAGTCACACGTCTGAGAATGGACCTTGGACATCATCATAGCCAACTCCCTCATTTTACAGATGAGGGAACTGAGGCCCAGAAAAGAGACCTAACTTTGCCCAAGGTCATATAGCTAGTTATTAAAAAGACAGGATGAGGATTCACATCAAGTCAGAGTTATTTTTAAACCATCGTAGAGAAAGAATTATACAGTTTAGAGCTGGGAGGAACCTTAGGGGTCCTCTAGCCCAAGAGGAGTAAAACTTTCACAGAGGAGAAAACAGTGATGTGGTAGACAAAACACTGGAATGGAGTCATGAAAACCTGGGTTCACTTTTTAGTTGTATCACTGTGGATAACTCCCTAACCCCTCTCTGCCTCAGTTTCCCCATCTGTAAGATAAGGAGTTTTACTTGATGATGACCTCCAAGGTCCCTTTCAGCACTAAATCTTGTGAAAGACCTATAAAGGTTAAGCGATGTGTTCAAGGCTACATAGGTAGGAAGTCTCAGAACCAAAATTCAAAGCCAGTCCTCAGACACTAAATCCAGGGAGTTTTCCTGTACACCAAGCCGGGAGCAGAGGAATCATGGTGGCCACCACCCATTTCATTCTAGACCAAGTATTCTGTGCAGGCAGGGAAGGGGGAGGAAAGGGAGAGTTAGTACTGCTTTCTCTCTTGCAATTGCTATCCTTTTCTCTTTTCTAGAACTCAGGCACATTAATGTTTGGACAAACAGGTTTCTCTGAGGCCAGTTCTCATTCTTTGACTAAGCCGGAACTCAGTGCTACCTACTCAATTCACTTGAGAATTCAATTGAGTTCTAGGTTCTGGACAACTTAGAGACCCAGGGTCTACCCAATGTTCCATTTGGGTGACTTCACAGTGCATGACCACAGATGCTCCAAGCTGAGCATCATGGTACTCGCTTAGTGGGAAGCTAAGAAGCTCTCTCCTAAAGTTGCTGACCAATTAAAAAGGCCACAGGAGGCCCGCCCACATGGCGGCATGTGCACTGACCCAGGCTTCTGGATGCTTTCTTCAATGGGCTTCCTCTCAGCACTTACCATATGAACACCCCAGATCATCCTGTGTTATGGGAAATAACCTTGATGGTAAAGAGGTGCTTATTGAAGATTAGAGAGTCAATACTGGGAGCCAAGAGCCAAGAGCCCTATACTGTTATAAGCTGGGGTGTGTTGGGGTCAGGTCTCTAGGCTCTAATTTTCAGTGCAAGCATTTAGGACTCAGAAATCAGCAAATATTATATATGGGGGCATGATTTATTCTTTTGTTGATTATCTAGACTTAAGAAAGTAATTAAGAAAATCTTGGTAATGAAGATTAAACTTAAAAGTGTGTCTTAAATCAATTTTTTGGGGGGCTGGTTGTTAAACATTTCTTAGCATACCTCTGAACAAAGATCTTACTTTCCCAGAAATGAAAATTTAGAGGATGAAAGGAGCTGACTCTGAACCCACAATGCTCTTATTTATTTTTTTGTTTTATTGTTACCTTTTATCGATTCTACCTTTTTATCAATTTTATTTTTATTGATTATTTTTATGGTTACCTTTTGTTTTCATTTCCTCTTGACCCTTGCCCCCATTGAACCCTCATTTGTAATAAGGAAAAAGTGTTAAGCAAATCAACAGAGATTGAATACACAAGATTCCACATCCACAGTTCCTCAGCTTTTACTGTGTTTCATCTGATTTCCAAGACCCAGAATTCATATAATCATTGTTATTGATTCCCTTTGTTTTTACCTCACTTTTATTTCCAAATATACCCCCACCCCTTACCCAGTGAGCCTTCCCTTATGGATTAACAGAGTTGTTCCCTTTTAACAAAGTTTTAAAGAAGAAAAGGGAAAAAAGGAATTCACAAAGCCAATTACAGACTACATTTGACAGTATATGCAGTATTCTACACCCACAGTCCCCTACTTCTGAAATGAAGGGGATGACTTCACCATCATTTTTAAATTAAAGCCTATGAGATGGCCATTATTCAGCATTGAGTTCTTCATCTCCCTCACCCCACCTACTTGTCCAGAGTTACACAATTTGAACTGTAGGCAAAGAACCAAATAATTAAATCTATTCTGTTTTCAACTGGTCCTTCATGAATTGTCATCTACCAGAAAGCAAGAACTTATCTCCAAGCTAATTTCTTATCTTTCTCCCCACTGGACCTCTAAAGCAAGAGGCGCTTAGAAGGATGTGCTCCAAGTGAACTTTAAAAGAGCCAAATCTTACATAAAGAATCAGCACCATCAATGGTGGCTTTGGGTTGCCTTACCTGTCTTTCTGACATGATGTAGAGCTGCTCATGGTCCATGGAGAAGGCCATGTCCCTGAGAACCGGGCCAGGATCCACCACCTGCACTGTCTCATACTGCAGGGCATTCCCCCGGGGCCCATCCACACGGATCTGGAGAGAAAAGAAGGAGATAGGTCAATAATGTCTCAGCTCAGCCAGGAAGGAAGATTTCCCGGAGCACTGAAGTCTACCTGGAAAGCCAGCCTAACAAAAAATAGCAGGGCCAGAGTGAGCTCTACCTCTAACGTGCCCAGGGATTATTTTTAACAGTGATGATGATAATGATGATGATGATGATGATGATGATGATGTCATTTACATAGTGCTTTACATGGCAAAATGGTTAGAGCACCAGACTTGGAGTGAAAAAGTCCTGGCCTGGGATTTTGACTCAGAGGCTAACTAGCTATATGACTCTGGGCAATCTTCCTTAGTCTTAGTTTCCTTATCTCTAAAATGGGGACTTTAAGAATTAACATCTACTTCACAGAGTTTCTGTGAGGAACAAATGAGGTACTACACATAAAGTGCTTTGCAAGCCTTAAGGTGCTACATAAATGTTAGTTTTCATGGCTACTGTTAATCCATTTCATCCCATGAGGTAGGTAGTACAGATGTTTTCATGCCTATTTTATAGATAAAAAAACAATAGAAATTAAATGAACTTGTCCAAGCTTACCCAGTTGCTGGTGAGTGGCAGAACTAAGATTCAAATTCAGGTCTTTTGGCTATAAAACTGGTTTTTATCCCTCTAGTGAATTGTGAAGTCAATGAACAAAACTAAAGCAAATAACCCTCCCCTACCCCCCACTAAGACCTCATGTTGGAAAAGATCAAGAAATAGGAAGGGAACTGATCAATGTGGGTTTCTTCCAGGTGCTACTGATATCTCTATATGTAACCTTGATCCTAATTCTCCCCTGTCTTCCCCAGAAGATTGTCTAATTGACAGTTTCTCCCTAGCTGCTGATTTCTTCTCTGCTGCCTACAAACATACCTGCCTCCCACATCCTTAAAAAACAAAAAAAACAAAAAACTCTCCTTAGGTCCCATTACATCTGCTAACTATTCTTCCCTATCTCCGCTTTTAGAGCCAAGCTCCTGGAAAAAAGTCATCTACTCTCAGGGCCACTGCAACTCACTCTTTTCTTAACCCCTTATCTTAAGCCTCTCCCCACTCCAAATCATCCTCTACACAGTTATCAATTCGGTTTTCCTCAATTGTAGGTCTAATCATGCCACTCCCTCCCTCCACTCAATAATCTCCTGTGTTTCTTGGGGGTAGGGGGATAAAAGTTTAGATAACTGAAGGATGACACAAACCGAAAGTAACATCCTTAAATTGTAGTCAGTGGATTTGCTACCAGAACAAATTCAGTTGCATTGCTGGAAACCATCCACTACATAGGTTTCTTCACTGCAGTGATTCAGCATAGACCAGACACTTTTTTGGCTAATAAAAGTAGTGCCATATAACACAGATCTTGGTGTGGGTTCATCCACTTGTCTCAGGATCAGATCAGAGAGATGTGTTAAATGGGGCCTGGTGGAATCTACTCAGAGCCCAGAGAAGATGGAGAGAGAAAAGTATAGGGAAAAGTCAGCTCCAGGTTTGACTCAATCTTCATGGTTCAGAGGACAAGAGGGAAAAAAACTGGTTCAAGTTATCCCCAAGAGAAGTCCTGTTTAGAAGAGCTAGAAGACCTTTGAGGGGACTTAGAACTGACCTACTTAGCAGGGGCTTCTCTGGTTTGGGAATTATTTCAAGCAAACTGTAGTCTTCCCAGGCTAAGCCTCTATGTACATATAACCTAACCTTTCCCATAAGAACTCCCTTGACTTGGACATTTATCATCAAGTGCCCTAAATGTAGTTGGCTAGAAATGATGGTGGTTAAGAGAATCATAGGATCATTGCTTTAAAGATACAAAGGATCCCACAGCATTCCACCCATGAACAAGCAGGAAGGAAAAGAGATTGTCTCATACTGGATTCTGAACCTGCGGTCATTGCTATGTATCACATTCTTGCATTCAATAAATGGAATTAACTACCCCTTGTAACATTTCATTTAATGCCATGTTTTCTCAGAACCAATTAATATGTTAGAGGGGGGCATGCCTGTATCTGGTTCTTTGTAATTCCAGAGGCTTACTGCTATCTTGCCTTAAGTATCTGACCACAGCCCATGAGCATCAGTGGGGAAGCTATGCATCCCCACTAACAATCCTCTTCTTGACTCCCCTCATTTCATATAAAAAATAAACAGAGAATAAAAGGAAGACAGACATGTTCAGCCTTGATCAAATCTCCTGCTTGCCATCAGAGTTCCTGATGACCTCCTTCTTCAACACATTTTCCCGTTCCATAAGGAACCCATCCTGGCTAGAGCCTTTCGTAATCTGAATGAAAATGAAAGCTTGTGCAAAACCAATTGGGATTACCACCCAAGTCTGACCGTGCACTGATGGCCCTGGCCTCTGGCCAAGCCAGACTGCATCCCCAGATTTGAGGCCTGGAGTCATGATGCAAGAATGATATTGAGAGGTCTGGTCTACCTCTAGCCAGCCCCCAGCCTTCAGGCAAAAGCTTCCTTCCCCAGGGAACACTTCTGGAATTAAATCTCATCAGATGTCCCTTGCTCTGATCATGAAGGTAAATTAGATTTCATGCCCAAACATTGCTATTTAGCTTTTGGTCCCAGCTCCCCTCCTCCTTAGGGGTGAAGTAGATCTTGAAAGAGATGGATGCCTAAAAGCATGGAGGTTCACAGACCAAATTTTCACAGGAAATGCCTAGAGAAGCTGCATTGAGGACGTCACCACTCTGGCACATGGGGGAATACAGTTAGCTTTTTCCTAACATATGTTTCCAGAACTGGAAAGAAGCCCATTTTATGTTAGCGTGGTCACTAGAAGAACCCAAGAGAGCCAAAGAAAGGGACAAGAACAGATGCTACCACTCTTTAGGAATTGTACCACTGTTTCCAACCCAAGAAGGCATTCGGGGAGAATATCAGGGTATGTGGACCATCCAAAACCCTGTTGCTTTTGGGCATTACTGGACTAGCAGTGGGAGAAGAACTGACTCTGACCCTAGCATTTAGGGAAGAGCAAGACTAAAGCTCTATGAAGTGTAGGTAATGCTGCGCTTTCCCTCCAGGGTATGTCGTGTATCATCACATTAGCCCACTGAGGCAGTAGCAGGGGAGTGGGGTTGGTTAGGTGACAAATTCTATGTAGGCTTTGTATCCCCCTCAAGAGTCAAGCTATGGGGGTGGGGAGGGAGATGTTGTACTCAGTTCCTTGAAAAAGTGGTTTTATGATGATGGAGCAGTTCAGAGAAGGCTGGTTATCCAAGTGAGATGAGATCCTCCCTATTTGCCTAGGGGTATGTCTCAGACAGCCGTAAGATGTTGCACAATAATCCTTTTGCTTTGGATAACTTTTACTTTCTGAAGCAGAAGCCTGGAAGCTCCCACTAAGGGATCTCTGACAGCTAAGTGAAGGTGTAGCCATGAGAAGACGGAGTCATAACATGCCTGGGAGCTGGAGGAAGATTTGGAACTGTATCCTCAGGGCAGTGGACTCATGGGCACATATTGCTGCATCACTCTCTGGAGGAAGACATTACTGATGTCAGGCAAAGGTAGCCTTTTAGGTGGGGGTAGGGGTGGGGAACAACACGGTTCCAGTAAGAGGAAATCATGCCTTTAATCTCATAATATCCATGTGGATAAAAGGGAATCAATCAACTGGCTGGCATGTACTAATCATGATAACCTCTTATGCTTACATCATGCTTTGTACATTTCAAAGCACTTTCACCTGTATGATCTCATTTATTCTTCATTACCATACTATGAAATTGGTAAGAGTCCTGCTATTCCAGCTTTATAGATAAGAAAACAGCCTCAGAACAATTAAATCCACTGCTCAAAGACATTGAGTAAATCAATAGCAGAATCATGATTAGAACCCTAGGCTCCTGACTCACACAGTTCAGAGTTCTAACCATAGGAAGGAAGGAAGGAAGGAAGAAAGGAAGGAAGGAAGGAAGGAAGGAAGATAGGAAGGAAGGAAGGAAGGAAGGAAGGAAAGAGGGAGGGAGGGAAGAAGGAAGGAAGGAGATAGGGAGAAAAGGAGGGAGGGAAAGAAGGAGGAAAAGAAATAAGAAAGGAAGGAGGAAAGGAAGGGGGAAAGAAAAGAAAGAAGCATTTATTAAGTACCTACTATGTTCCAGGCCATGTGCTGGGCACTTCACACACATTGTTTTTGTTTGAGCCTCACAAACCCTGAAGAGGTAATTGCTATCATTATCCCATTTTAAAGCTGAGGAAACTGAGTCAGACAGAGGTCAAATGCCTTCCCCAGAGCTGTGCAGCTAGTATGTGTCTGAGGCTTGATTTGAACTCAGGTCTTTCTCACTCCAGGCCCTGCACTCTATCCGCTGCACCAATTAGTGGCTTTCTATCTACCTACTTTCAAAAGACCTTTGACAAGGTTCCAGGCCAAATAAAAAGCTGTGAGCATGGAATATAGAAGAGCCCAGGGATGTGGTTTATAGATAGGAAAGGGTAAAGAGAAACAGGTACTCTGTGACTACATGTACTCTCTGAATAGAGACGCATACACAGTAGCATCCGTGAGGGGCTTACTAAGTATCTTTATAATGATCTGAAGGAAAGAGTGTATAGCGAGGACTTCTAAGTTTACAGATGGCTCTAAGCTCTCCAGGGCAGCAGAAAGCCAAGCCAACTGATAAAAGGCAAGATCTGAATGAGGAACGAAAAGGTGGAAAATGAGTTTGTGCGTAGGTTCACGGGGGTGGGGGAAACCCAAACTATACCAAGCATGAGCCCTGAGTTATGACTAAGGAAAAGGGGTCCAAGGATTAGTACAGACTGTTCCCTGAAGATACTCGCCCCTCAGAGGCCAGGCCAGTGAAACACAGGGCAGTCTCAAGGAGGAATTGGTTCCCCATAACTGGAGGGCACTTCTTTATCACCCCTGCCTCAAAGAACCCCCAGTTTCCATTAATGCATAGCTCAGGTGCTGTCTCCTACACAGTGTTTTTCCTGATTCCCTTCCTCCACCCCCCCACCACCTAGT